ATTTGTAAAGTTGCATCACACTTCTTGCTACATTAGCCAGCCTGATAACCCAAATATTACTCACACAGGATTATGTTTCCTGTTTCTTTTCTCTGAAAACAACATTTTGAGCATCTACCCAACTGAGCTGTTTGACTTGCTGGTCGTGTTGCTCACAGTTTGAACGCAGTCACTCGCTGAAGCACTGAAGAACTTTTTATTGTTGATTTTTAGCTGTCTTTATGCTTGTTTGTGTCTGCTGTAATTATAACTACAGAAATATGTCACTGTTCCAAATTGATGTTTATATTTTCTATTGTTTATGGCTGATCAGGGGGAAGTATTTTATTGATTGTTTACATTTGTGGTGCCTACATTGTTTGAATAATTCCAACAACAATGTAAAAATGCTTTTGTTTAGTGTTTATTGGTTTTAGTGCAGCTGCTTTTGTGCTAGTAGGTAGATCTAAAATGCCCGGGGCAGCAGGGCTAAATCACTGGTAGAGATGAAAGAGTTGGTCACCATGGTTATCAGAGAGTACAGTTACAGTGTCATATCGTCCTCACTGTAATCCTGTCAGCAGCTATCAGCTCTTATGTAACATGTCTGGCTCGTTGCAGTTCACAGGAAGAATGTCGGCAGTATTGGTTTGTCCACAGTTATCCTGTCCAGGTGAGGTCTGGTCAGCATGTCAGACAGACATCAAGTGCTTACAATTTGTGTCTTTTGTTGTCGTTGCCTTACTTTTTTGGTTGATTAGCTTAATAATTATCTGACTGCCTGTTTAAAGTGTAACTGATGCTTTGAGTTTAGATTGTTGTCCAATAGTCACTAAAAGGTGTGATACATGGTTTTGGTTTTCTATAACTGCCAACACAAAACTAAAAAAAGTAATTATTTTTATGTTCTATAATAAGTGTATTTTAGTGGCTATTATCTCAATATATTCTAAATCTTAACAAAATACATTGTAGAAGTTCATTTCTTGACCCTGGAAACAATAATTAGATTTTTTTTTTTTTCAAGCAGCCAAAACATCCGAACATCATTAAAAAAAAACTCATTTCAGGCTAGTAGTATGTTGTAGTTTTCAGTTGTCTGTAAATTAGCTGCTAGATGGCCGCCATGTTTCCAAGTCACCTGCTTCTTAGACTAGTTCAAAGCCAAAGCATCAGAGGTTGGTTAATCACATGAGAAACGCCAGGATCCTTTAGATACTGGTTAATCTGTTTGTTTGTTTTTCAGGTCTGCATACATGTGCTGTGACAGTGTATTAGGGCCATTGTTCATAAAAAAACAATAACAACAAATGAAGGGGGTAATGTTCCAAGAACAAAATTTGAATTTCCAAGACTAAAGTTGTACATTTACGAGAAAAAAACTCTGAAATTCTCAGAGATTAAAGTGGGACATTTTTTTCATTTCATTAATAAAACAATCGAAGAGTGCAGGCATAAGAGAGGAGGCGGAGCTTTCAGACAGTTAGGTAGATATGAGGGACTGCAACAAAGCCACTTAAAAGCATGTGTCACATCTTACTCATATAGAAATGTCTGCAGTTCTTCCCCAATTGTTATGCTTTTGGTCTTTAAACAGAAGGAAGTATCTTATAATACTGGTTGCTGAAAGTTTTGACTTATTCTTATTAACATCTGCTTATCCGGCTTTTAATAGAGTACTAATAACCACACGTTTGCACATGCATGTGAATTTTTTTCTCGTAAATGAGTGACTTTAATAAATGTTTTTCTCTGAATATTACCCCTGTATTTTTGTACGTACAATGGAAGATTTGAATTGAAGGTTCTCTGGATAGAAGATCCAAATGAACTCTTCTTTATTGTTGTTGTTGTTGTTGTTGTTGTATTGTATTTAAACATTTTCATGGTCTGGATTAACCAAAACAGTTTTATGTTACTTCAGTATTACATTTTATACTTTGCAAGTGGTTGAATGATAAGCCTCTTGATTGTACAAAGATGATCTTATTTTTGTTAGACAAAAGTAATTTTTTTTTATGCGCTTCATACTTGACACCAAAATGTTTACTTTTTATTGACGTTAGTTTGGCTGTAGAAAAAACAAGTTCTCCCTGAATTTCACTTTGTGGAATATTAGCTGTAGACACATTATTATTATAATTGCTACATGTTGTTTGATTAGTAAAAAATTAGGTTGAAGTTTGGTTAGACCAATATACCAGTGTACTCATATTTGGAGCCGTCAAATCTCAGCTGTGGTGTCAGCATGGTCTACCTCCAGGCCTACAATTTTTTAGATATAATGTCCCATAATAGTTTAAATACTGATTGTGGGTTTGGTGTCAGTTTCAGAGCTGACTTATAGTAGTGTCGGCCTTCAAAAACATTTGTTCCAAACCTGATTTTAAATCACCATCACTGTCTTTTGCTCAGAAAGGTTGAGTTTCACACAATTGCTTCATCTCTGCACTAGTCCAGAAGCTGGAAATTTTCAGAACCATTGAACAATGTCCTGGTTTGTGTTTTTGTGCTTTACAAAGTAAAAAGTGTTTTCCCAATGCCTTTAGTATTCATTGAAGAGCCATAATGTCATTTCACCATGTCTGGTGCCCAGTCTCTGAATGTTCTGGTTTTGGTTCATTGATCTGGACTCTGCCGGCACACAGATTTCATCCCTCACTTAAGGTGGTAACAGCGAGTCTGTGTTCATATGGCTGGACTGAATGCACTGGATCAATTGCCTTTGGGCCTTTTCAAAATTGTGATTGAATGAAAATGTAAGGGAGGGGTGCTACTTGTAAATATGATTTAAATAAAAACCTTGGGATTGTATTTCAGCAAGTGTGCATTTACTACATTCACAATCCTGTATTGAATGACTACCCACATAGACCACAGTAGTTACACATTTTGGTGTGAGGGCAGTGAGAGAAGAAGCAGTTTGAGCACTTTCACAGTCTGATTTCTCTGGCTACTGTCAAAAGATCCATTATAGTCTGTAGCTTGCTTATTTGAATAAGACTGTAGTAGTATTATACATGTTTTGGCTAAAACTCGGGTCTTGTCTCAAACTCATATACAAGAACAAAATTGAACTTAACTGCAGAACAGACATCATGTGGAGTAATTATAACTAAAGTTCAGGAACTAGACCACACCTCCCTGTCGCATTATTCCAGCCACCTGTACTTCACTCATTCCATCCACCTGTGCCTCTCTAATCCAATCACCTGCACATGTACTGTATATACTATATATAAACCCGTCCAACCCCTTTCTCTCTCAGTTCTCACGACCGTTTGTCTAGTCCGACACACAAAAAGTTAATTATAACTTTTGTTCACCTTAATATGCATCACAAACTGGTTCTCAGCCTCTCGGACTGCCACAGCCAGCCGTGGAGTTCCATGTCATGGACCCACTTCATTTCCTCCTGTCCTTTCCCTGTTCCCCTCCCTCTCCAGCGCCCCACCTCTACATTCCCCTGCATTTTCCGTTCCTACAGTAACCCCTGGTCTTCCCGCTACACCCATCTTCAATCCCACGACCACCAGCAATTTCACTTTTGCCTCTGCCATTCCCCCGTCCTCCCACTTTTAGTCGTATGCCCCTCTCCCTCCTCCTTTCACCTTCTGTTAGACAACAAATCCTCTCAGGTACTTACCTCAACCTCGTACTTCTTCCCCAGCCATTCATCAGCACCACCACCAGCCCCAGGGAGCTCTTAACACCCCATGGGACGACCCACTTATACGTCCCCCACCTTCACGTTCTAGAGAAATCACAGCTGTAGAATTTGCCTTAGATTTTTCCTTTTATCACCATACCATCTGTTCAGTCTTCCCCAACCGCAGGGCCAAGTTGGACGACTACCTCTCCATCATCTTGGATTTGGCTCTGCGTTTCAGGTTTTTTTTCCCACATATCTTGTCCTATTTCCATCCCAGGCCACAGGGCAATTTAATAAGGGCACCTACTGGGGCACCCTTGTCTCAGAACTTTACTGCAGAGTATTCACAGCATGCTCCTCCTTGGCTTGCAACCTGCAGGGCGCCCCTTCTCCTCCAGCCACCAGCTGTGTCATTGCTACTCCTTTACCCCAAGCCTCCATCTCCTATTATCCCCAAACCACTAACCCTCCTACCAAGAAAACATTGCACCCCATAACCCCACCCAGTGCAGTTTCTGACCATGCAGGAAACTCAAAACACTGATCTCATCCATGCCCTAAAATCCACCAGTTCCCCATCCACACTTTCACTTCCAGTTTCCATCCAGGCATCGAGGTTATCCCAGATCCACTATAGCTTCCAGTCCGTCCTCGCCAAGCCTCTACAGTGGCCAAGCCCCCCCTTCCCCAATTCACCTCACCAACCATACCAGCATCACAACCAGAACTTAGCAAAGACCATCCCCCCCACGTCTCAGTACAGATATCATGCACCATGCAACAAGCTCACACGACACCAACCTCAAACATCTTGTCTCTCTCTTTTTGTCAACATTGAGGACGCATCCATCTTGTTTGAATGAACTTCTTTCAGTGTGAGCTCCACGTTGTGGTCTCTCAGTTGATCTGTACAGTGTGAGCATTAAAATTGCAGGTTTTGGCTGAGCAGAAAGGCCGACTAACACGTGTCTTAGAACACCCAGGGCACATGTCCGTCCTTATCCAACCATCTGCCCTGATACCAAGGTTTTGTTTTCACCAGGAAACAAAACCAGATTCCCAGCAGGAAGATGCAAGCTCTATTTCAGGTGTCAGGTACATTGAGGCTGTCTACATCTATCACCTATTTACCACCCCTACTATTTCATTAACACTTATCATTATTTCCTAATATTAATTCATGCACACTTATCATTGAATTGAACTGAAAGCTCATTTCAAATCTTGTCTGATTCTTTCATTGCTTTGCCCAGTGTTACCTGGAAGTGGGGTTATTTGGCAATCAGACTTAAAGCCCTTATCAGCTGCACTTTGACACCAGCTATTAGTCATTAATGAGTCAAATATAAATCTGACCCAAGTTCCCTGAGCTCTGGACTCTGCTTCTGTTCCTCTTGAAGAAAGGTAATGAGATTAACACCATTTTTGGAATTGTGTCATATACAGCTAGCATTTTGCTACAAGTTGATTCATAAAATGGTTACATTCCATTGTACTACAATTATTAGAAGATAAGAATTATTTTCATTATTGACTAACTCAAGGATTATTGTTTTGAATAATCAAAACGTCGTTTACCATATAAAATGTTAAAGAATAGTATGAAATGTTCATCAAACAGCATCTGACTGAAGTTATGTCTAGAACAGCTTATTCTGTCTCAGAAAAAAAAAAAAGCCATTTCATTTACTATAATATGAAATACAGAAAAAAATCATCACTTAACGCACTAATTGTTTCAGCTGGAGTTTTTCATACGTTTTATCTCATCTTTTAGAGGTTCACTGCTGCAGCAGCAAATTGGTTGGATCTCCAGAGAACACAATGGCGAGACTCCTCTCAGGTAAATACCATTCACTCTTAAATTCAGTATTTCTATATACCAGATGAGTGTGTGTGTGTATGTGTGGGTGTAAAAAACATACATTTATTATTCATTTTATCATTTAGCTAGTCATTTTGGAAGGAAATATATCAGTTAGCGTATTTTGGTACCATTATTATTCTTATTTATCTCATGTTTCACAAATTTCAAATGTATTCAGGCTAATTTTAGTATCTAAAGTAATATCCTATATTCAAATCTTACAGAAATGATATTGAGAAATAAATTGCTTAAATTGGTAACTACATAGAAAACATACAGTTTTTGCACTCACAAAAAAAGATTAATTGGATGTTGTTTACCAGGTGAATATATGCAGTTTTTCTTGCATCAGTTTTATTTGTAGTTGGTTGTTCTTTTGCACACTACGTCCCTGTTATGTTTTTCTTTGCAGCTCTGGGCGTTCTGCTCGTTCTGCATGTCGGTAAGCATTAGTTGTGAACAACAACAGGCAGTGGCTCTTCTTCACACTAATATGATCAATGTGTCAGAACAAACGCAGGAGCTCTTAAAAGTCTCATCGCTGATGTCCTACTGTCTTCCCTCAGCCTCATCCGCTAAACTGGTGTGCCACATGACCAACTGGGCCCAGTACAGACCCAGCAGTGCGAAATTCACCCCAGACAACATCGACCCCTTCCTGTGCACACACGTCATCTACGCTCTGGCAACCATCAACAGCTTCAACCAGATCCACCCCATCGAGTGGAACGATGAGCAGCAGTACAGCAGGCTCAACAACCTCAGGAATGTGTGAGTTAACGCAGTCTGTACACTCAACCATTATGGACGCCAACATCTGCTGATGTGGCTTATTTAAGCCTAACACCTATTTTCAAAAAACATGGAAGGATATTTTGATTGATTATATACGGATACATATCCAATTCAGTTAATGCATTTTTATAAGACAAGTGTATCAAAGAAAAATCTTCTGCACAATAATTTTCTGAACTTCAGAACTGGGACATAAAAGGCCTGTCATTTAGACCATCATGAGGCCAAGCCTAGCATTAAAATTACATAATGAACGGAGGAACTATCACCATATTAGCTATGTCTTATAATGAATGAAGGGCTAATTTGCAACTCAGTGAAAGTAAATATACTGATCATATAAAACCACCGTAGATAAACAAAATGTGTTAATGTACAGACTTTATGAGCTGACATGAGAGCTTGGGACAACACTCTACAACATAAAATGCATTTTGACTTTGCAACCTCCACTCTCAGATTGTTCCTGATTTTATGTTGCACAAGGTTGACCTGTTTCAAGTTTAAGTTCAAATTCAAGTTCCCATTTATTTATAATCCACATTTCATACAAATGTATCTCGAAGTGCTTTCTGGACTATTCATACATTTTAACTATGTAAATGTTCTATAGGCACTGTTTAAAAGAAGTGTCTTAAATTTTAAACAAGTATAATACAGAGACACTTCTCAGGTCAGCAGGCTGACTGTTCCATCTGCTCCAGGACAAACACTAAAAACAGACTGTGTTTTCTACAATAGTAAGATCTTTTCTTTGCCTAGCTCCAAATGATCAGATATGAACCCTGGAGCAAGGTCATTTACAAAAGGCTTTTATGTGGCAATCATACAGTCATTAAGTGTGAGTTGTAACATAGACAGCTGCATTCTTGATTAGCTGCAATTTCCTCGTGGATGTTTGGCAAGTCCAGAAAGAAAGCATTAGTCTTAATTATGGGATTTTAGATCTTAGAACTGTAGTAAGACTTCAGTCCCATCACTATTTAAAACTTCCAGCTAATGAAATAGTATTTAATCGGCAGAACTGTTTTGTGTTAATAATGTGAAATTATTTAAGGTTATGTTTGTCTCTCTCTTTGCTATTAGCAATCCTGCACTGAAAACTCTACTGTCTGTTGGTGGCACAGTCAATGGAATAAGCCCGTAAGTTCAAATATGACCCCAGGTCTCAGGGTCTCCCACACACAACCCTAATATCCTTGACATACAGTTAACACAGAGCAGAAACCTTCCTCTACCACTTGGTATTGCCAGAATGAAGGCCACAGGATATGTTTTATTCATCTCGCTAGATTCATCGCCATGGTTGCCAGGCCCGAGGGTCGTGCAGCCTTCATCAGGTCGGCCATCAGCTTCCTGCGCACCCATAACTTTGACGGGCTGAACCTGGCCTGGGAATATCCTGGACACAATGGCAGCCCACGGGAGGACAAGGAGAAGTTCACCCTGCTGGTCACGGTTAGCATGAACTTCATATGTCACCAAGAGTTGTTGTTAATGGTGGTGTATTTGAGTGTTTCCCATATGGGTTGCATTTCAACCAGCCTAAAAGCTATAAGTGTCGAACCTTTTTGTGAAAAAGGAAACGACATTCTCCTAAAAAATGGTGCAGTTCATGTAACTTTCAGTCTCATCATCTCAGTGTCTTCATGCAGGATCCATGGGGGCATATGCATTGCCATCTGCCACACAGTTGCTCGCTGAGGCTAAAGCATAATTTAGAATAAAATATGTGCTCAGTTGTACTTTTTATACTGTGTGACAAACTAATGAACAAATGAACAAGACCAAGAGACTACAGCCATGGTGGTGCTTTGAGCTAAATGCTAATGTCAGGATGATAACATGCTCACAATGACAGTTCTAGACTAATGTTTCCCATGTTCACCATTATAGTGTAGCATATTAATATTCTAACTATTGTTAATTAGCACTATACACAGAGTAAAGCTAAAATGAATGTCCTCAGTTTGGAAGCATTTGGAAAAATGGATGAGAAGTCAGTAGGTCATCAATGTTATTACTATTTATTCTCATGGTGGCGCTAGAGGATCATCAAAGCCAGCAGGATTCATCTAATATCCGTCCAAATGTCCATTCATCCATCAAATCGTCAACCGCTTATGCTGCGTACAGGGTCGCGGGGGCCTGGAGCCAATCCCAGCTGACATTGGGCGAAAGTCGGGGTGCACCCTGGACAGGTCGTCTGTCCATCGCAGGGCCACACATAGACAAACAACCACACACACTCACGACAATGTTAGAGAAACCAATTAACCTAGCCTGCATGTCTGGATGGTGGGAGGAAGCCGGAGCACCCGGAGAGAACCCACACAGACACGGCGAGAACATGCAAACTCCACACAGAAAGGCCGAGGCAGCAGGGGTTTCGTCCAAAATGTAACAATAATAATTTATAAATAATGAGATACTGTATCTCACCTGCTGATGGTGCTAGAATATCATCTTAGCCCTTAGGTCCTCAAGGCACCATCAACATCTGTACAAAATGTCATGGCAATCCATCCAATAGTTGCTGAGATATTTCAGTCTGCCTGTCTGTATTGTGCAATCAATATTAGTCTTACACAGAGTGTGAATGCAAGCAGTCACATACGCATACTAAGAGAAAAACCTGCTCCTCTGTCTCATACCCATCAATCTTTCAGGCCCTCTTAGCAATTTCTGCTGTTTTCCAAAAGAGTTGTCAAAACAAACTCATATGTTATTTAATCTGGCCTTGATTATCTCGAATCTGGGCTGGACGCCCAAGCCAAGCTTGAACACACGTCTCCCTTGATTCCTCCCAAATCATCATGACCCTCAGATGTTCCTGTCTGCCTCTTTCATGTAAGACAAACAGAAAGTATACACACAGTAGCCTATAGATCATCCCTCACCCTCTTCCTTATACATATAGTCAGGTACATAATGAAACATAAAACACCTACCCTGATGAAAACACTTTTTTTGTATTGTTGTGTTCCAGACAGTTACTGCGGTCAGTGTGTCCTTTTTCCAGGAACTGTTGAGCGCTATCTTCAGCTTTCCCACTAGAAACCATCTGTGTATTTGACTGCTTTTATATTTATCACTTCTTGCCTGTGGCTTCACTACACAGTGTATTTTGGCACAGAGATTTAACTCAGCGACCAAACTCTCCTAGGCCTCTCTTAACATGTATGGACCTTAAATGACTTAATATGACATCCGATACATGGTACATATTTTACACTGTTGTAACAGCACATCTGACCTGTCCTGATTTTACCACACTAGCATGGCTAAAATCATGGTACACATTATGAAATACATGTGTAGCCCCCTGTGGGCTGTTTTTAAAATAGTATTCTAAATACCACCCTTGAGCCAGCATTATTTTATTGTTTTAAATGCACATTGTCCTGTGTGACAAACTAATAAAAAAGAAAGTGAAATGTAATTCAAATGGTAATATTACACAACGAATGACTGAACAACCAAAGTGCTGTGAGACACATCATTCTGTCTTCACCAAAAGACTGTGGTTGTAGAAGGACACAGACAGAAACTATCAGATGTGGAGGATCAGAGGTGTTTTTGTTCATTCTGCCTGCAGGAGCTGTCCAAGGCCTTTGAGGATGATGCCAGAGACAACAGGAAAACTCAGCTGCTGCTGTCCGCCAATGTTGCTGCTTTCCGTCCCAACATCGACAGAGCCTATGAGGTCAACAAGATTGCACCGTAAGTTTGATTTCACTAGACTCAATGTACGTTTATGTTCAGAGGAGTAAGGTATCCAAAAAGTATAGGTTTGTTATCGGTAGTGAAACATATGACACCCAGCTCTACTTACTGTGAAAGACAGATAGGGGTGTCAGTATCTTGCTCAAGGACATCTGGTAGATAAATAAGAACATGAGACCAGCGTTCACTGATAGGACAGAAGTTTGAAAGATCACTGAACTTTTCTAATTTTTTTACTAATGTGCGTCTTATTGTTCGGAGTTGCAGAGAACCTTTACTGTTAAACCCAATAGTTTGCATGTGCTGTATACTATGTCCATCTTCTATGGCTAATCTAAACACAAATGTTTAAAATCAACAGACACCTTGACTTCATCAACGTCATGACCTATGACTTCCATGGATCCTGGGAGGCAGTTACTGGACACAACAGCCCACTGTACCGCAGCTCTGTGGACTCCGGCTCGCACATTCATCACAATATCGTAAGACACACAATAGACAGACGCCTGTAAACTACACACACTTCGTGACATTCGTCCATGTGTTAGTATTGTCAAATTGTCCAAAATGCATTTCAAGAAGCTTTATCTCACTGATGAGAACAACATTTAGCGCAAATACTTTAACACAAGGGGACAGAGGGTCTCACAAAAACCTAGGACAATGAGTTGTGTTATAATATTTAATATAGATATCACGTTTTTGTCAGCAAATACTTACATATTCAACAGCCACAGGGTGGCATTAGCATTCATCTGGAGTCATGTTCCTAGCCAGCATTTGAATGTAATTCCAGTATTCACTCCTGTTTTAGCTTTATTTTGTTCTCTAACGCTTGCTTTTTAGCTGCTACACCTTTAAACTTAAATAATGTGCTGAGATTCACAGTATCTGCAGTAGTGACAGACATTTACATTACAGAGAGGCATCAGATTCAATGTTAAAATCAAAAATATACATTTTGTACTCTAGTATTTACATCTCCTTTGTCCTTTTCTATAGAACTCCTCTGTATCCTACTGGCTGGCTCTGGGAGCCCCAGCTGAGAAGCTGCTGCTGGGTTTCCCCACCTACGGACGAACCTACCGCCTTAGCAGCGCAGTTACCGTCCTAGGAGCACCGGCTAATGGCCCCGCAGACGCCGGACCCTACACTCGCACTGCTGGCTTCTGGGCATACTATGAGGTACAACACATTCATATAATGCCTAGATGAGTTAAAGTCAATAATTCCCCAGGATTGGCCGCTGCATCTGTGTGCAATGATGTGAAAATGTAAAATCTCACACGATACTGTGCCAGTTAAGCCTCACTGGAACGTCTGTAATAAAAGAAACACCCTAAAGTCAGATGTATTGTGATTGCTGTCTGTACTGTGAAAGACATTACATTTTAGAATTGTGTTCAACCTGTTACATGACCAGAACTTAAAAAAACAGCGACTTTAGAACAGGCCCCAAAACAATGTACATAAGTTCCAGTTGACACTATACATTTAGTACACAAGGGGGATCTGCTGGGGTCAATTTTGTTAGCAACTTAAGGTGTTCTGTGAGTCTGTGTAGTATCTGATGTTGTATTACCTTTCTATTACAAAGAAAAGGGAGTGAGAGGCTCGAATACAAATATCCTCTTCCTATCCTTTTCATATCCTTCCTCCTAAACTCCACTGTAACAACATGATTCAACATCAATATGACTTGTGATCATCTACATTTGACCAAGAAACAAATACACCTCTGAAAAACAAGGGGAACCAAAATTATAAATGTAAAAATAAGGGTTGACCTTCAGTAAATATGGAAACTTCCCAATCCCTGAGTTTTCTCATGTAACTGTTTATGTGTGTGTTTCCAGATCTGTGACTTCACATCCAGTGCAACTCTTGGATGGATCTCTGAACAGGAGGTTCCTTATGCTTCTTATGGCAGTTCCTGGGTGGGCTATGATGACAAGC